AATAAAGCTGCCCAAAATAAGTCGCAAATATGCACATGACCCAGCATCAGCCATATAATTCTGCACTTGAAGTTTGATATCATGTCTGCAAGTGTCGTAGAAGCTCCACATAAAGAGGTAGTACCCATTTCCAAACCACTGACGACCACAATAGTAACAGATTCCTTTCGAAAACAATCGTTATTAATGTAAACTGCATGGTTACCCGACAAGAAGAATTTCATTTAGTCACGCTTACATTAATAGTAACTATAAGCAAAAAAAGAATGATCAATTCCATTAATTAAAAAAATAAGCAAAATTTATCAAATTTTGCTTAAACGGGTGGTCAAAACACATTGGTTTTAGTACTTCCTACAAAAGTTTAATTCTAAATTACAAAAATCATGTTAAAGAGACAAATCCTTTATATGATACCTTACTATATTTTTCTTTTTTTTAAATTTTAGGCTTTTGAACCGCATTTTGCTGGTGATCCAACATATGAAGAAACACAGGTTATTATGTGATAATTGGGAAGAAAATGTGTGTTTCGTAGAAGTGACTTAGACAGCAAAATTACATTGTGCCATCTCTGGGAACAAAAGATTAGTTTTCAAAATTGAGACATCTTTTTTTGAGAATATCACGAAAGATACAAGACTTGAAAATGAACATTTAGAATGCTTAGTCCTAGAGAACATTGTTTCGAAAGAAGAATTTGAAAAAAAAACAACTGATTTATATCTTTTTCAGAACCAATGTCGTATTTAAAATGCAGAAAAACTTCAGGAAATTTGGACTGCAGTATATAAAGATATTAAACAATAATTATTATGTTGGATAGAATCTTAACACCTGTTATTAAAGCACCAGTGTTTGTTAATTGAACATTAGATTTGCTAATATACTTGGGTTGAACGAAGACTGATGAATTCAGTAAGTATATATTTCTTTATAATTAATAATTTTTTTTATAAGTGTTATACTATTTGGTTCTCAAAGTAGAAATGCAAAGCTCCCCATGATTTTTCTACAACATTTGACTTTGTGTTGATGATAATTTGTAACATCTTGTTTTTATTCATACCACATATGCATCAAAATTTTGAATCAATACATTAAAATTTCAGTATTTTCTTTCTGGAAAAATCCAAACACAGGCATTAGAAAGTCAGTTCGGAAAATATAGGACATTTTTTTTTCAGGTTCGGAATATTTAATAACAGTTCGACAGCTTTATAAAGTAGAAGCTAAACTAAGAATGCAAATTTTTTTACCTCTAACTTTGGTTTCAAACACATATGGCCAGCTTAACTTAAAAGACATTCGTGATTAAAGATTTTCGTGATGCTCAGCCGTATCTACCTGTTTTAACATATTTAGCTGGTGTTTGTGCTAGAGCAACACTTATGTTCCTTAAACAAAATAATCAATGTCAAATTGCCTCAGAAATATCGATTAGCTTGATAAATTCAAATGAATTTATGTATGTACTATGCATGGTACAAATAAAGTTTTATAACATATTTAATTCACATTTGCAACAATGTATAACTGCTTTTGGAAGAAAAAGTACCAAAGATTTAAAGAAAGAAAAGTAACTGCGACAAAAGTTAAATAAATTGTATAATCTATTTTTATGTATGTATTTATTTTTCCTGTATATATCTAAAATTATATAGTATTGATTTTTGTCTAAAAATATATTTGAAATTTATTTAATAATTCTGAATGCTGTGATTGCATTTGATACCAATAAAGCTACTGTTTTTAAATTTGTATGTCTTTTTTTTTTTTTGCTTTGAAAAAAATACCTACTTTATTAGCTAAACGAATTACATTATATATATATGTGTGTGTGGGGGTGTGTGTGTATTATATTTTCTCTCTATATATACATTTATTTTAGGTATATATGTATGCTTTAATATATGTACAATTTATCTAAAATATGTATTTTTAACTTATTTTACGATAACCTGCTATATTGTTATTTATGGGAACTTTTATTTTTGGTAATTTTTAATGCTGTTATTGAAGAGTGAAGAATTTTTGCTTATATTACTGTGCATGATACCAATAGTTTTAAAACATTTAATCTACATTTTTAACACAATGCATAATTGAATAACTATTGTTGGAGGGAAAATATAGAAACATTTTTATCAATGAAAAGTAACTGACAAATAGCTAAATAAACTGTGTAATCTGTTTCTGTGTACATATTTAATTTCATGTATGTATCTGTAATCATATATGTATGGGTTTAACAAAAATTATTTTTTTCAACTTATTTTATGGTAATTTTTCATGCTGTTATGCAGACAGCAAACTTTTGTTTATTAATTTGATACCAATAAAGTTTTAAAACATATTTAACTACTTTTAAGAGAAAAAGTACTAAAAATTTAAGGAAAGAAAAGTGACAGACAAACAGCTAAATAAACTGTGTAATCTATATTTTTAAGTATATATTTGTTTTCCTGTATATATATCTATAATTATACAAATGTAGATTTATCTACAAATATATTTGAAATTTATTTAAAACAATTTGGTGTGCGATACCAATAAAGTTACTGCTTTTAAATTTGTATGTCGTTTTTTGTTTTGAAAACTATTTCTAATTTTATTTTCCTCTTTGTAACTATTCTGAAAAAAATTTGATAAATTTTAAAATTAAGAAATATTTATAGTTATGTAAAAAAAAGAAATATACGAATACAAAAGGCTCTTATAATTTGCTACAATGTAATACATGTGTTTATGTTCAACGCAATGCATTCGTAGTTAATGCATGGATAATCATATACTTGCAATCATTATTTAAATAGAAAAACTAATATTTACTCATGTTTTATGTACATGAAATACAATTTAATGATTAATTTATTAATTTTTTAAATCTCCTGTAAAAAAAAGTGTATAATTAGTTTAATAACAAAAAGTATTCAAAAAAATGCACCAGAGAAACTCCGCAGGCGATGGACGATCTCTCCCTACTAGTAGTGACGTCACAAATCAGTGGCCAGACCTTGTATCTAGGAGGTGCTGGCAGTACTGATACATTTATAAGTGCATTATATCAGTGTAAATGTTAATTTCATTTTTTTATTATGTTAGAATGTATTTTGTTTGCTTACACTCAGTAAATTAATAATTTTAAAAAATAATCTTTTGTTTTCGACTTTTCAATTTGCTTGTTCCCCCCTCGTAGATTTATCACGCCCTCCAAGGGGGCGCGCCCCACAGTTTGAGAAATGCTGGCTTAATAGGATTGTGTAGAAACAATACCAGGTAGCAACTACATTAATTCGCAATTTAAAAGCATTGTCCTAATTTTAGATTCAACATAGCATACGTTAGCTAAAATAATTAATGGAAGGTTGTATTTCCATTACAGGAAATAAATAGTGCAATGAAATTTGTGTTAAATATCTTTCTAGGAGTAGGCGCATTTATCCAGCCAAAAATAGCCAATTTAATGGGCAGAAAACGATGAGTTGTGTGGAAGGTAAAGGAGGGAGTATATAGCAAACGATAAGTCCATTTATTTCACACACACACACACACATCCCCCGCTCCTTATTTCTTGTTGCTTATATTGCAGAGTGGGTGGAGTTGCACCATTTTTATACATCTTATCTTTAACCGTAATCGCAGCAATTGAAAGGTCCCTAGAATGAATCCCTAAGTAAATAATCACATGATCAGATTGTGGGAGAGATCGAGCTGCAAATGCAAAATAATCGTTTGGTTTATGCATTTTTAGGGGTGTGGTCTGCAGATGAAAGCGATAAATAGAATTCTGCTTGCATAAAACGATTTTGGAAGATTTAGCTCGAGGAAGTAGATTTTGAATAAATATTTAAAAGTATTTTGATTTTAAAGTACTGAATAAAATTGGCGCATTTTGTATTTCGGTTAGGTGCATTCGATCCATCGCCAATTAAGTTACAGCTTACCTTTTGTCAATTTTCTCCCAATGCGCTCAATTCATGACGTCAAGTGATAAAAACAAACACGTGTTTTCCATTGAATTCAAAACAAACATTAAACTAAATGTACTTGTTCTATTTGTAAAATTTAGATAAAATTTAAAATTTCCTATTCGGTTAAAGATGTTTAGATGTGAGGAAAAAAATTCTTCAAAAAGATTTTTTAAAATTGAAAAAAATCGTATTTTATGCTTATACTTTTGAATAAATATGTATTCTATACATATGTACTTTTTAAGAGAAAGTTTCTGCAAAGAGCAAAACTTGGCAACACCGTAGCGCGTGAACTGATTCGCTGGAAACAAGATAGTTTTTATCGTGTGACTATGACGTCACATGAGTTTTTGAGTTGATTGGCTAGAATCACGTGGCTTTCACTATCATGTGATTATGACGTCACATGAATTGTACAACTACGTAACTAATCTCTTTTAATTCCATTGGTTTATATAAAAATTTCATATCCTCATTCCGTAGAACCTCATTAATAAGGATTCATTAAGAGTCTAGGTCATCCGTATTAAACGAAATAATACATAAGAGATACAGGTAAATACTCTGCGCGATAAAAAGAACACACATAATTAAAATAAGATAAAATAAAGCGGTAAATAATTGTTCAAAAAGAGAGTTTGAAAAGAATACGGTACTTAAATTATATTTATTTGTTCGGAAAAAAATAATACGATAAAAAGATAGTTCAGACTTATTTCCACCAGTGCTAATCTGGTTTCCAGAAACTACTTCTCTTTTTTTTGTCTTTTTTCAGTTCCTACTATTTGTTCACACTCTCCCTATATGTATATATCTTTTTCAAATTTTCAGCCATTAATAAAATACTTTTTATTCATACACTTAAGTTCAGATAATTTTTTTTTTAAACTTGTAGTCGATGACTCTTGATGTTAATACAGTTTTTTTCATATATTAATTAATTAATTGAATTGAATTAATGAATAAAAACTAAAAAACAAAAATAATAGTCCAACACCATATATAGAAAGGAAAATTGTTCGTTGTGTTCCTGTAACGCAATGGATAGCGCGCGCGCGTTGGTCTTCTAATCCAAAGGTCGTGGGTTCAAATGCCACCTGAAATAGCCTAATTTCTGAGAATGGGATTCTTTTAACTATATTTTTTATTGGAATAACTAATTTTTATTAATGAATAAACAGCAACAAACAAAACAAAAAAATAGCCCAACACCACATATAGAAAGGAAAATGGAAAATTGCAAGGAAAATCGCTTTCTATTTTTTGTCACTTAATATTGTCATTCTGTCATGTGTATACACATATTACAGATCTACAATACCTCTACAGCAGATCTGCTGTATATACATATACACTGGTGTGCAAAAAATAAGGACGAGACGGTTTTTTCAATATAACTTTGTACAAAAGCTTTCCAAATCAACACATTTAATACCGTAAAATCCCCAATACGTAAGGACATGTGTAATATGTAAGCAACACTTACTAAAAGAGAAATCAGAGTGATAAAAAGAAGCTTGATTGAAAAAGTAGCATGGAGCGCAATGCGACTGAAGGCCGAAACATCCCTGTGATGGGTGTCCAGCAAGAAACATCCGGTCTTTAGTAGGAGATATGATCTCCCCTGACTGCTAGGCAGGTTTCACAGCGTCTGCCTATGCTGAGAATGAGGGTGTCAATGAGTTGTTGAGGCATTGCTGCCCATTCGTCTTGCAGCGCCAATCGAAGCTCCCGAATCGTTACTGGTGGTAAGGTACGAGCTGCCAAGCGTCTGCCTAGAAAATCCCATACATGCTCGATGGGATTGAGATCCGGAGATCGTGCCGGCCAATCCATACGTTCAATATCCTCACTCTCTAAGAGCTGTTCGGCAGCTACTGTGCGATGACATGGTGCATTGTCGTCCATGAAAAGGAACTGCAGACCCATAGCGCCTCTAAAAAAGACGCACATATGGAAGAAGAATCTCGTTACAATAACAGGTCCCGTTGACTGAACCTGCGTCGAAGATGTGAAGGTCTGTACGACTACCAAGCATGATGCCTCCCCAAACGAGAACACCACGACCTCCATACCTGTCCTTTTCAATGATGTTCGAGGGATGATTGCGGCTTCCCCGCTCTCTCCAGATGAGTATGCGATGAGAATCGCTACTCAAACTGAATCTGCTCTCATCTGTAAAGAGTACTCGTCCCCATTCATTGTATCTCCAATTCCGGTGTTCCCGGCACCACAGAGAACGCCTTCTCCGATGGGCAGGCGTTAAAGGTACACATCGTACAGGGCGTCGTACAAACAGACCTCCACCGTGCAGTCTTCTGGCCACGGTAAAACGCGATATCGGTCGTCCAGTCGCCTGTGTCGTGTGTCTAGCGATTTCTCCCGCTGTCTGCCGACTAATTCTTCTGGCCTGTAAGACAATGTACCGGTCCTCTGCGGGTGTGGTTCCTCGTGGACGACCACTACTGAACCCCGGATAGCTGTTCCTGTAGTTTGAAATTGTCTCCAAAGTCGTGAAACGATGCTGTGAGCACTCTGCAGCCACACTTGTCACACTGCGGCCTTCCTCCAACTTCCCAATGATTCGACCTCGGGTAAAAGCATCCAGATGTCGTCTAACAGATTGATTATTCACCATTTCTCGCTGAGGCAGCAACTCGGTGTGATTTTAACTGCTTTTCGGCGTGCAATCTCTGCCAGAAATACTGATCTTACACCGACAACATGCTTTATACTACTCAGACACTCCCCCATTACGTCTACCTGCATATCTGCGCATGTGCTACCGTACATCATCTTACTTAATCTCCTGATCGGTCTTTCTGTCCGCTCTGCCTCTTCGTTCAGCTGATATGCTAATTTTTCGACTCTTCGTCCTTAATTTTTGCACACCAGTGTAGATGTACATATATGTTTATACATATTACAGATCTACGATACATCTACTACAGATCTACTGTATATACATATATATATACATAAATTTATATGCATATATGCAGTGGCGTAATGTACACCCCCACATTGCGGGGTGCCCAGGGTTCAAAGGGGCCCAAAGCCTGACTGACGCAAGTGCCTACTCTTTGTAAAATTCAACTTGGGCGCCCAAAACCTGACTTTGCAGGGGGGTCCAGATGTTCTCCGTTACGCCACTGCATATATGCATATACATATTACAGATCTACAATACATCTACTACAGATCTACTGTATATACATATAGATATACATAAATTTATATACATATATGGATATGCATATATTTATTTACCATATTTATATTAATTACAATTATTAAAAAGTAACTAATATAAAATTTTTCTTTGTAGACCTTAGTAGGAATTGACTTAATTTTTTTTTTGTATTACTTGTGTTTATCCTTAAATTCTTTACGAAACTGTGTAGTCTACGATCTAATATTATTCAGTTTTTTCGCATTTATTCATTATGATTTTCTTGTTAAAAAAAAGAAAAAGATGTTGGAATTTAAGCGATATTTGATGTAATGGGATCTGGATTCCTGGGCTTTTATTACATGCCGAATAAAACAATATGTAAATAAACATGGAATATTTTCTAAAATATTTTAATTCAATTTATCAAATTCTATTTCAAATTTATTTTAATTAAATGTTATCTAATTTTAAAAACACATTTTGTATTTTGCACTGCAACTACACATTTTGTATTGTGCTTACGATATTTATTTATTTTACGTCTCACAAAATTGAGAAAAAATACGGTTACACATTAACATTTAATCTAAGTAAACTTTTGGTGAGGAAGAAAATGTAAGAAAAATAATTTAATGTTGAAGCTGAATATTATTCAACTTTAAATTAATTCCATTTATTTAAAATACTTTTTTTAAGTATTCCAGTTCAAGAGTACTTCCAAGTAGGGGAACAAGAAAAAGTGGAGTGGAGTCAAGCAACGATATTTCTAAAATAGATTTACTATTTCCCGTCCTCTAACCACGGGATCGTCAGATTTCAAACATCCATATTTCATGGTGTCAGAAGGAAGGTTTTGTGGATTGTAAGTTCTGCACCTCCAAATCGATTTCTAGACCTCGTGGCAGTAGGTGCTTTATCATAAGAAATACCACTTCTGCCATCTTAGACTATTTTTCAAAAAGAAGACTCGGCTGCATTCAGGGCTGAAAACCGCATCTTCAGTTCTGCGCAGTGGTATACGGGTATTTTTGCATAATAAATGCTTAATGATTAATGGATCTTTAATGCAATGCAATTCCCACATGAAAAATATGCGTGAGGTTTGAAAATAAACGAGAAATTATGTAAAAGTAAAGTAAATATGGAAAATTAATTATCGCTTATGGATAAAAAAATAGGTTTTAATTCATAATAATCCTTACTAATATTATAAACGAGAAGTTTGTATGGATGTTTGTTACTGTTTCACGCAAACACACACACACACACACAATTGAATGGATTTCAATGAAACTTTACAATAATAGAGCTTATACATCAGAATAACACATAGGCTATAATTTATAAAGACATAGTGTGACGTGTCCAAAATATAACAATAATTGTAAAGAAAGTAGGAAAAAATTCAGCCATCTGCAAAAAAGCCCGCGACAGCATATATCTATCTCTTATGTGTGAAGGAAAATTTTGCATTTTGTTTTGTCTACGCCAGGATCTGCGAAGGCTTGGACAGGTGGAGTGTGAGGCCGATTACAATTTTAAAATAAAATAAATGCATCAAAAAGTAATATTAAAGTATAACACTTCCTGATATAAATTATGTATACTATTTTAAGCGTTCATTACACATAATTTGTAACATTGTGCTACTTTTGCTGAGCGAAGATTAGCTTAGGAAGGTGTTTTCAAAAATCCACCCACAAGAGAGTTACGGAGGACGCTATAAATAAAAAAAGCCCTTTTTATCAGCTATTAGACCTACAGACTTAAAATTTAACAAATATGCTTTGTTCAGCTGAAATATGCAAAAGTCTCTTTTTTTGTTTGTTTGTTTAATTTGAAATTCACGTAAAATTAACTCATTAAAAACTTCTTTATCCATCAATCTGTATTGATTACTTTTTTCAATTCATCCGTGCAAAAAACGGGTATAACAGCTAGTTTTGAATAAAACCGTCTCAATAATGTTCGCTAAGATTCAGATGAGTATTCAAAATATGTGATTCTTTATATAATAAAAACGGAATCGGTAGTAAAATTTAAGGTAAAAGAAAAGGTTCCGTAAAATAATTAAGTGAAACGAAATTATTCCCGAAAAAATGGGATTATGATTAATTTTTACAAAATGGAGGATGTTATACACTATGGGTGTCAAACTCAAAGACTGATTTGGGCCAAACAGACAAGGTTTAATTTAAGGTGGTCCGCAAATAAAATCAAAATACATAGAAACGTAGGTTTAATTCGAATAATGCATTATAGTAAACATGTATAAAAGAATAAGAAAAGTTTATTTTATATATATATACATGTACTATATATACATGTACTATATATATATATATATATATATATATATATATATATATATATATATAGTAATCTGTTCTGCTAGTATCTTTCCTATTTCGCGAGAAACTTTGATATTTTATTTTTAATAATTGTGTGCCAATATACTGGCCGGGCCACAAAAAAATGCACGTTTTGGGCCGCGAGTTTGACACTCCTCTTATACAAAAATGTTCATCCGGATTTAAGACTTGTTAATATCTGTTATCTGTTAACGAACAGCGCCCTCTAGCTGACATTGTAAAATAAACTTCAGTGTGTGCAACAATAACCTCGAGAAGGGTAGTGTATGGAGTGAGTGAAATTAAAAAGTGACAGTTCACTGCTAGTGTTTTTTATCGTGTTGAGTCAAAAACAATATATATATAATAAAATTATTTCTATTGAAATATAATAAATAAAGTTTTAAATACAATTTGTTAGTATCTTGAAATTACGTGTACCAAGTTTCGAAATTTTTTCAATTCCTACTATTATAGATCACACTCTAGATATTTATTTATCTTGGTGGAATTTTCAATCGCTAATAAAATACATTTTAAAGCGCTCAATGGAGCTGAAATTTTACATACTTGATTAGT